TTAATGGGGCTCTGAGAATATTCATAGAAATAATCACTTTGCTTTATAATTGAGATGCAATATCGCACTCGCAGCCCCAGCTATCTCTCGGGAGGCTGAGTGCATGGGAGCGCCTGGCCCAGGAGAATTAATTCAATCAGGTTTTGCTAATGACAAAGGAACCAGCCTGGAAATCACCCCCTCCCAAGGAACACCCATCTGGCAGCACAGCGTGCAACTGCTGTGCTGCTCCAGCCATCCACAAACCTCTCTCTGCATCCCCTCCTCCTCAACATCCTCAAGCTCACCATCATCTGAGGACCAGCTCCACCATAGAAGACACCAGCTTAGGTTTGGGTCTGATGGACAAGCTCTGTCTGAACTTTGTTTAAGGCTTAAAGAGCTGCATTCTGCAGCATCCCATCTCGCACCCACTGGTGGATCACACCGAACCTGGACCTGGCTTGGGAGATGTCAAACCACCCCACAGTTCAGGTACACACCTTACTGGGAAGCTCCCTTTCTCACTGGTGGGAAGATATCCTTTTGCTTTAGACACAGCTCCACCAGTTGACAACCAAGCAGCACACTGCACGCCTACATCATGCACCCACAGCCCTCAATGCATGGAGCTGGTTTTGACAGGCCAGCCAAAGAGCGACGGATGGGACTAAATCCCTGTCCACCACTGGAGATGTCCACAGCAGGGGACAATGCTGGGATCCCCACAAGCTTTGTCCACCTGGCTGGATCCCCATCAATGGTGTGCAGTGATGGAGCTCAGGGATGCAGCTCCTATTTCCAGCATTAGGTGCCTGCCCAAAAACGCCCATCAGCCGACAACCAGAGCCAAACCTCACCGTCTGGTCCTCTCCCCCAGACAGTCATAAAACTGGAGACACAAGCGGACATTAAAACTGGGCAGAGCTGTAAGAAGCCATAAAGAAAAGCAGCATCCAGGCAGCCCCCATCCCCAGGCAGGCAGAGCCCCCTCCTGGGGCCATCCTCAACCCCAGGGTGCAGAGGGCAGCAGGCAGGTCTCACGCTATCCAGGCTAAGGGCACTCAACTGAACCATTCTCCTTCACAGGCGAAGCTGCAAACAAGCGTGCTTCAAATCAATGTGACATTTACCATCCTTTGGTGCAGACTTCCCTTCTACCCCCGCTTCCTGGGGATGGAACAAAGCAGCAGCAGCAGCACTGGCTGCCAGACTCTGCTCCCTCCTTAGGGATGGAGAAGTGCCGCAGAGCTGCTGCAGGGACGCGCAGGACGTGCTGAAGTCAATCACCAACACGAGGAACTGCTGCTGTAAGGACCTGGTCGTGCCTCGATGATGGGGGACATAAGCAGGGTGGCAGGGCTGTAAACCCTGCACCCTCTCCTTTGCACTGGGCTATACCTTTCCCCCACAGCATTGGCCAGAATGTGACCTACAAGTTTTGGGGCTAAATCTCTTCTAAGAAGAAGGAGGGTCCCCAAAACACTGTAACACACCAAAGCACAGTGCCAGTGTCAAACCTCAGTGCAGCCAGCTGCCTCTTGCTGCCATCTCCAAGCATGGTCCCAAAGGGGATGAATTTAGATGCTGTCACCTAAGGATGCAGGGACTTTCCCCCCGATCCAGGACACGCATTCATCCTCCCCATAGATGTCACCACCTGTAAGTTTCTCCATGTACATTCTTCCCTCCTGCCCACAGCAATATCTCACCATCCCTCCCTCCTCACCAGCACCTTTGCCACCAAGGCTGAATTTGTTCTGTATTTAGCTCACACACACTGTTCTGCTCCTTGCTTTGTTCTTTCTTATTAAAAGAAAATAGACTCCAGCTTGTTTCTGGCCATGGGAACTGAAGATAAAGCCTCAGGTGAAGCCACGTGAGCTTTGGGGGTGAGCAGGGGATGGCAGTGCTCTGTGCATGCTGCAGCACCACTGACATGTCCCATTTACTCCCTCCCAGACACCTCCACTGAATGGTGGCACTTGAGGCAGAAACACTGCAGAAACTGAAGCAGGGACAAACACAGGGTGATAGAACTGAAAACAGACAAGCGAGATTTGCTCCTGCAGGAAGGAAAGGGCTGGAGCAGAGGGGATGGCTCCAGCTCTGTGTACAGCTCCTGGGGATGTTTATGGCATGTGGTATTCCTTGGCAACATCAAGGCTTCCTTGGCAACATCAGGGGGGCTGGAAGCATCACCTTGTGCCTGTGACAATGGGGATGAGCTCCGTTGCCTCCCCAGGAGCAAGAGCAGAAGGGGGTACATCAGTGGGGATGCTCCTCGGGGTGACCAGGGATGCAGCATCGTGCTCCTCAGAGAAGCACAGACCCCACAACACCCCTGTGAGCACCACGATGCCAATAAGAGCCCCAAGGCACAAAGACTGTTGCAGAGCATGGCCTTGGTCCTGTTCTCCATCTCGCCTAGAGCAGCACAAGCACTCAGGGCTCCTGCAGCATCTCCCCACCAGAGGAACCCCCAGTCTCACGCAGCCTGGAGACCACCACGGCTGGGCTCAGAGCAAAGCAGACCCCACCAGAAGCTCCCCATGGAGCCAGGGGCTGCCCCAGGAGCTCCATCCCACCGGGCTCTCCTCCTCCCTTCTCAACAAGCACAAAGAGAAAGGCGGCTCCACTCGCACCTCGCTAATTGTTATTTGTGATACACCAGTAACATTTTAATTAATCTGAAGTCTTCAGCATAACAACCACCCGAGGTACAAAGATAAAGCAGAATCAACAGGGCTTGATTAAATGCATAATTAATGTTTCGCTAAACCCAGCATATATGAATATTAATTACCAGCAATAGTCTGTGGTTTGGCATCTCCTGTCATCATCAATTTATTCCTTCCATTGCCATTCCCGGCCCTGGAACAAATGAACCAACCTCTGGCTTGCCAGCAGAGCCCACTAAATACAACTGAATGCAAGAGGCTTGTCTTTACATGCCACTATGTCACCCGCACATTAACTGCTTTCCAGCATGGTTGCCTGAAGAGAGATGCATTGCCAAGGCTGAAGTGTGCTCATCCCAAAATGGGACTCAATGTAAAGAAAACTGTTGTCTGCTGGCAATAGAAGAAGACCAATCCCCACACCAGTGAGAGAGGAGAACAGGGATGGACCTGGTCCTGTTGAAGGTTTTAGAGTCATAGAATCCCAGCCTGGTTTGGGTTGAAGGGAGCTTAAAGCTTCTCCAGCTCCAACCCCTGCTATGGGCAGGGACCCCTTCCACTAGAGCAGCTTGCTCCAAGCCCCTGTGTCCAACCTGGCCTTGAACACTGCCAGGGATGGGGCAGCCACAGCTTCTCTGGGCACCCTGTGCCAGCGCCTCAGCACCCTCACAGGGAAGAGCTTCTGCCTAAGAGCTCATCTCAGTCTCCCCTTGGGCAGGTTAAAGCCATTCCCCTTGGCCTGTCCCTACAGGCCCTTGTCCAAAGTTTTAACCACCAAAGGGACTTCAGGCAGAGTCTGGGCTCAGATGTGCCACAGCACAGGATCCAGAGGAGCAAAACCACCTCCTGCCCATCACAGCCCCTGGGCAGAGCCCGGATCCAGCGAGGTGAGCGCGGACAGAAGCAGCCACCCATGGGCTGCATCCTCCTTGCTGCGGCAAGCAGAGCATCGCACAGTGGCACGGAGCATCCCTGTGCACCTCCCCAGCACAGGCGCTGCCGCCCCACGCGCTCCCCGAGGTGTCATTACTCTGCAGGAGCCCGCACTAATTACAGTGTCAGCCTCGTGCTGCAGGGCTGCTAATTGAGGTAGAGCATTACAGTGTTTCCAAACCCCGAGCTGCAGGCAGGGGCCGCAGCAGATCCGAGCAGCGCTGCTGGTGCTCTTGGGAAAGCAGAAGGACTTCAGGGAAAGCCTGTCCTGCTGCTCACCGAGAGCTGGACCAGCATCTGCTTCATGCAACACAGACCAGAGCCCCTTAATGAGCAGGGCAGGCTGTGGTTTAATCACAATCTGAATTATTTATTAGGGTGAAATCAGTGCTGGCATCCCATGACCTGCAGGCAGGGCTCTGGGGAACACAACGGCAGATGCAGGCTCAAGTCCCAACTTCTCTGATGTGAAAACATCTGGATGACTTGGGGCAAAGCCCCACTGAAAGGAGGATGTTGGCACAGGGTTTTGCCATCGGTGAGTGGCCCCACAGAGCACAAACAGGCATTGACACCCACAGCATCGCTAAGGACTGCTGGAAGGGCAAGCACCAGGTAGAATAGAGCAGGAGAAGGAATGTGGGACAGGGCTTGGCAGGGTCGGACACCGCCATGGTGAGCCAGAGACCCCACTGAGCTGAGCCAAGCCCCAGGACAGGGGCTGAGCACAGACCTTCTGCAGGCCACGGTCATGCTCCTCTCTTGTTATTAAGCTTTAATATTGTGACCTTTAAGATGCAAGAGAGAATTCCTGAGCCTCTGTAACTGTCCAAGGGAGGCTTTGTGCTCTTGGACAAGCAACGAAAGGTTAGAGCAACGCCTCCGCAGCAGCCAGGGCCGTGTTCCCATTAACCTATTGCTACAGGTGACACTTGGTTCACTCCTCTACAGAACCTCCTCTGTTTCCTTGCTGAATGATGGCAATCCTCAGACAAGAGCCCAAGGCACCGAGGTGCACACAGCACCTGGCTCCCTGACACTGCGTTTGAAGGATGAAATCCAATTACTGCTCCCTTAGTGCAAAACCCTTCCCCTTTTAGCGTGTCCCCACGACAGGCTGGCAACAGCGAGCGAGGCTGCAGATGTTCCAGGTCCCTCCCAGTCCCTCTCTCCGCGAGGGGTTTGGCTGCCAAGACCTGACACGGCTCAGCCGTACCAAGAGAGCAAGACCTGATGCGAGAGAACTCATCACAAGGCACCCAGGCACCCATGTGGGGATCTCGCACCCATCTGCGAGCAGCAAGGGACAGAAGAAGGGAGAGAAGGTGGCAGCAGCCGTGTGTGACCCTCCTGGGATGGCCTCGGGAAGGGGCTGCCCGTGAGCAGGGCCGGAGGGGCAGGACCTACCTGGGATGTTGTGGATGGTGATAGCGAGGATCATGAGCATAATCCGCCTCCAGCTGCTGCTGCTGGCCGCGGGGGCCCCATCCCTGGCCACGGGGAACGCTGGGGGGGGGTCCGGCAGGGTGGCCCCTGCACCCTTCCTCCTCTGGTAGGGCTCCCCGTTCTCACCTTTGTCTGCAGGGACAGAAAGACAGACAGGTGAGAAGAGAGGGGGACAGAGCGGGGCACCTCCCGCCTCCCCTCCCAGAGGGAAAGAGCAGGGAGAAGGACTAACACTGACCAGAGCAGGGCTGAAGGTGCATGTGTTGCTCCCTTCGTTCCAGGGTAGAGGTTTCCCCTCAGGCAAACTGCAGAGTCCATGGGCTAGGGAGTCTCTGAGTCAAAGCACAAGCTCATCTTCTGCCTCCTCTTCCTCCCCTGGGGACCCAAACAGCTCCCCAGCATCACCCACCCCTTCAAAGTCCCAGTGTGGTGGGGACAAGCACTGGGGATGATGGCTGGTGAGGATGATGAGCAGCAGGGACCCATGGTACGTCCATTCCCCCCACCCCCCCAGCCCCAAACTTTGCAGGTCTGCAGTTCCATTGCCATCACCGGTACAGGAAAGCCCATTAACACTCACCCCAGTCACAAAACAAGTGCATTGAGCTGTATTTAGTGACTGTTCTGCCACCAAAAGATTTGCCACTGCCATTTGCTAAGACATCACCAGGTAACTCCAGGCTCTCCCAGACCTCTGCTCCCAGCAGGACCATTACCATCAGCTTCACTGCAATCAGTTATCTAAAACCATGCCACTACAACCTCAGGCCCAATTAGGGCTGTGAACCAGCACCAGGCAGCACCATAATAAAGCCCACGCACACTGAGAGCTCCAGCATGAAAAGGTGAAGGGATGCCAAGACGAGGAGCACAGATTCCTCCACCCCGCACAGCTATGGCTCAGTATTAAAGACTTGACATTTAGACAATATAATTCTCTCCCCTTGGATTTACAGAATTCTCCCTGCTGTCCCTTGAGCCACGCTCTCCCTGGTTTTGTTCACAGACGCAGTGTAAGGAGCCATCCGAAGCTGTTCTGATGGAATTCCAATTGCTTCCCCTGCTATTTGGAGGCAGGATGGTACCCGGCCATCACATCACACACCACACAGCATGTGTTTCAGCACCAATTAAGAACCTTGGGATAAGAGGGCTCATGCAAATTGACACAGGAGGTCACCTTGGGAAAGCAGCAGCACATCTGGCCATCTGCAACACAAACACGGACACCCAAAGGCATCCCAAAACGGTCCTCAGCAATGCAGACGACACACACACCAATTTCATAGCGTTTGGTAGCAAAAGAGCAGCTCAAAGACTAAAACCCCACTTGAGAGCAGTGGGAGCAGGCACCTCCTGCCACCTCCCATGCACAGGAGCATCCCTGGACGGTGTCACCAGGGCTGCAAATCACAACGCTCGTGCTTTCCACCGCACAGCAAGATGCTGCACTGCTAAACAGTGTCATTAGCCATATGGAGCCAGCCACTTTGTCCCCGAATCCCAGCCCAGTCAATAGCACGCAGTCACATTTGATGGCAGAGCTCCCTCCCAGCCCATGGGGCCAAAGATAAATATGGTTTTAAGCAACAGCAAGGGCAATTAGATGCAGCGGAGCAGCTTGTCCAATTCACTGCAGGAACGCTGGCGTGGTTTGGCTGGCAAAGGGGCAGCCAAGGCTAAAGCCACTTACAGATGACATCCCCTCCTTCTGCCAGACCACTGCGGTACTTTAATTGCTTGGCACGCACCCCCCTGGTCCCCCAAACAGAGTTATCCTCAGCTGATGCTGACCCACAGGGCTGCACCCAGTGCTGCCGCAGCCCCATCACCGCAGGGTGATGTGAGGATGCAGAAAGGTGCAGGAATCCCCCTCTGCCATTGAGGGCTTCTCAGGGAGGAGGAAAAACACCATGTAAACCATTTTGAGAAGAGCACTTACATTCAAGTGACAAAACACCAGCGCTTCTCCCTTTATAGAGAGCAACAAGTGTTCCATAGAAGCAGGAGTGATTGCAACGCAAGCGTAAACTCTTGAAGTGGTTTTTGCGAGGCACAAATGCAGGATGGGTGCTGGAAGTGGGGGTTTGGGGGGTCTGGGGAAGCTCTGCACTTTGCAGGCTTCGGGGGAACGCAGGATGTGAGATCAGGGATTTGGTTTTGATTCCATCAGGCCAGAAAAGCTGCTGCTGACAGTGCAGCAGCACCTCCACCTCGCTCTCATCGCTCGCAGCACCAGCTGAGAACAGTGGCACTGACACCAGGCAGGGTGCTCCATCACTGTTTAATTCTCACCAACCCCACAGTGAACAATTTCTTCCTCCTGTCTAATCTGAATTCACTCTGCCAATTTAAAGCCATTCCCCCTTGCCCTGTCACTACGTGCCCTTGTAAAAAGGGAACCCGGCTGTCTCAGTTGTAACCCCACGGTTTAGGCAGAATGAGCCCAAGAACCCAACCCCTCCCAAGCCGCTTTCCGCTTGGCACTGACAGAACTGATCGACCAAATGGCAGCAGCCTTTCCAAAAACCTGACTTTCTGGCTCTGAACAAAACAACTCTGCCTCGACATCTGCTCTGCTCGCAGAGACGTTCACTTGTGCCACCCCCGTGATGCTCCCATCTATCTCCCTTTCGGCTATTGCTCAGGCCCCATTCCCAGGGGATCACAGGGACTGTGGCAGGGAGGGGACCATGTGGTGGCACCATGCTCACGGTCCCCTCGGGACACACACGGAGCCTTCAGGAAGGGGAGAGCTGCTCCAGCTCCAGCTCAACCCAGCCATCCAAACCGCTCACAATACACTCATTGCACGTTAACCCCCAGTGCTTTGAGCTGATGGTTCATTGGGCTTTGCATGCCTCATCCCAGTTGTACTTTCTCCCCATTTCCCTTGTCCCTGGGTTTAAGGGGTTCGCTCTGGGTCTGCACCGTACCCCAGGACTCCTGCAGCAAGGCACAGTGAGGCTTTTGCTGGTGTTTAACCATCAAAGCAAATCCTTCCCAGCTCCCTGCTCCAGGTTTCGATCTCAGCTCCCCCAGCTCCTGCCTGCAGGTGAATTTTGGCTGAGAAAAAGCCTGCTCTATTGAATGCACAGCCACCAGCATGGGAGAAAGCCCCAGAAAGGAGCTGCAACCACCACAGAGGGGCCCAGCTGCACTTTGGGGCCACCCATGCCTGCAGATATCAGATATCTGAGAGCATCAGACAGGTACATCCACACACCCCCCATGCTCATAAGCATCCTCTGTGAAGAAGCACAGCAAGGGATTCAATGGCCAACGCTCGTCTCACGTCTGTAACAGGGGAAGCTTCAGCTTTCCCCATTCTGAAGAAAATTACCCCCCTCTCCCCATCATCAGATTACCAGGAAAGATCCATCTCACGGCTCTCATGAACAAAAGGCAATGCTCAGACCACTTCCATTGCTTAACACGAGCCTGCCACCCACAAAGGTATCACCCAGCCCCAACACACTCCTACCACTTCTATTAGATCCCTTTTTTGTTAATTATTACTATATTTTACCTACAAGTAGTCTGCTTCTTACTCCTGACAAAACTGTTGATGCACATTCGACACTCTACAAGCAGATCTGAAGCACCTTCGAGGACAACGGTGACAAAGGATAGGGAGATGCCACAGCCCTCTGCAAATGTGGGAAATAAAGAGGATAGATGCAGCTTTTACCAGGGAAGTGCTGCGGGTGGTGTGCCTGGGCAATCTGAACACCAAATTGCCTCTCCTACACATTATCAGTGCATTAGCAGAGGATAAAGGCAGCAAGACCAAACGGAGGGAGACAACCCCAGCATCATTTTCCCAGTAGTGCCACATCTAACAGCGAGCCTACAGAGCGCACACGGGTCAAGCAATGGGGTTTACTGCCAATTGGTGCTGGAAACGATTAAAAAACCAGGGGAAAAAAGGGATAATTACAGTGGAGGGGTGATCCCAGCACAGCACCGGACACGGCACGGGAGGGGATGCGTGCGGCTGTCACACAAAGCACAGCACCCAGAGCGCTCCCAGCCTGAAACGCTGCCTCTCACCCAGGCTAAGGGGAACAAAACAATAATTACAGCAAAACACGGATTTGGCTGGAAGTCAGGAAAGCCTCAATAGCAAATTGGAGTGGTGATAAGAGGAGAACAAGGGAGGGGGCTCTTAAAGAATAGCTGACACAATCAGACGAGGGTGCTCGCGAGAAGGCTGCCAAGACAATTATGTGGCAAATAATTATCTGCACCACATACATTATTTTAAGTCTTGTTCACAGAACGTGCTCCATACATTCTACTCCATTTAGCATTATTGGATTTCTTAGCAAAGCTGCAGGGCAAAGATTCTGCCAAAAGTTTAATTACATATGTGCAGCCTGCTGCATTTTTCATATCCTCTGCAGCCAGCCCTGGAAAAAGATAAATGGCTTTGAGTATGGCTTAAACTGCTGGTGAAATATAAAAACCAACTGGCTCCTTATCAGCATGTGAAATGGCTTTTTATTTCTGATTATTTCTTAATGAAAACTGTTTGCATTAGCCGTGAGCTCAGCTTTACTGCGCTCGCAAGCGCTACACAAACAGACGAAGATGCTATTTACCCTGGGCTCAAAGAAACCCTCATGACTGCACTGCTTCAGCTCCCACATTCAAACCAAAGCCTATGGAGCTCTCTAGCTTTTCACATCCGCTTTAGAGCCCTTCTCCTTCTCTCCACTTAGGCCTGGCTTTAGCCCTGCCTCTCCTCCTACAGCTCTCAAATGCTTGAAATTAAATGTGCTCAACCAGGCTGCTGATCAGGGCTGGGGCTCTTCAAATCCCTGTTGGAGAAGTGTGTGAGGAGCCCGTGCAACCCCTTTTAGGTGGCCTAAGAGCCACTTTAGGCTCGATTTGGCTCCAATCCTCCGCCTCCAGCCCAGTCCCATGGCACTGGTGAGCTTCAGTACACTGTAGGAGCCGGTACCCTGTGGTGAGCACACTTTCTCCCGAGCAGCACCCCAGCATCTCCTTCTTTCCCCATTCCAGAGCAAACACACTCATGGCAATTTGGATCCTCCCTTCAGATGCTTGAAAAATCAAGCTCCAAAAACCCTCCTTCATCTTTTCCCCACTGATTTCCCCATCAAATT